GGTATGTGCTCTTGGTACCGCAGGTTCATTCCGCATTTTTCCACTTTAATGTCTCCTATAAATGATTTACTTAAGGGCAAAGCCAAAGGACAAAAAACAGTGAAGAGAATGACCCAGCCGAAGCAGCATTTAATAACATCAAACAAGCTTTAGTATCTGCTCCGATTCTTACTAGTCCAGATTTTTCTAAACAATTCATTATACAAACTGACGCATCCGATGTTGGAATCTCGGGCGTTTTAACACAGAATATTGATAACCAGGAGAAAGTAATAGCATATGCTTCTCGATCTCTCCCCAAAAGTGAGCGTAACTATTCTCACCGAGCGGGAATGCTTGGCTGTAATATTCGCAATTGAAAAGTGTAGAGGCTTTGTTGAAGGCTCTAACATCAAGTTTAAAGTAATTACAGATCACGCTTCACTTTTGTGGTTAGATCGTTTGTCAAATCCTGCTGGAAGACTGGCTCGATGGTGTGTTAGGTTGCAACAGTTCGATTTTGATTTTGTACACGGTAAAGGTAGATATAATGTTGTTCCTGACGCATTGAGTCGTAGCTCAGTTGCAGGGTCCCTTAGAGCCGTTTGTTAATTTAAACGAGATAGATGTATGTTTGGGAATTGATCTTGACCACCTTGATAAGTTTTATGTCAATATGCGAAATAAGATTTTAGACAATCCTGATAATTTCCCTCAGTGGCTTGTTAAAGATAATTATGTTTATAAATTAGTTCCTACAAAGTCTGTACTAAGTTCCAATATCACCGAGTGGAAAATGCTGGTACCGAAAACCCAACGGCGTCTAATCACGACGACCCTACTGCTGCTCATTTAGGTTATAGCAAACGTTTGAACGAATTTGTAATTCTTATTATTGGCCCAAGATGAGAAAAGACATATTTGGGTATATTAAATCCTGTAAGATTTGTAATTCGCAAAAATCTCTGGACAGATGGGTTTAATGGGGGTAGCGAAAAAAGTTAATTTTCCCTGGCAAGTTATAGCTATGGATTGTATGGGTCCTTTGCCTCGTTCAAAGGGCGGGTCTCAATATTTGTTTGTAGTATCCGATTGGTTTACTAAGTATAGTTTATTGCATCCCATGCGAAAGGCTAATGCTGCAAATGTATGTACATTTTTAGAAAATGATGTTTTTCTAGTATATGTGGTTCCCCAGTATATAATATGCGACAACGGTACGCATTTTGGGAATAATTTAATTAGAAATCTCGCTGAGAGATGAGTATAGTAGCCATTGTGACTTTGTAGAACGGTGCAATCGCACTATCGGTAAAGATTTGAAGCCATATTTCTCTGATAGCGACGTTTTTACCGATGATGACGATAAAAAGTAGTATCTTATTTTTGATTTTTGTAGAGTTAGACATTACCTGATTTTGACCAATACTGATTATGACTTAACATCATTCCTGTATAACACGTGTTCAAGTGTCTCTTAATAAGTTTAGAAGTTTTGTATGCGTAAATTACAAACCTCTACCCATCAAATAAGATGCTGCTAATTTTTTATATATAATAGAGTAGCCTGAGAGTTAGCTCGCAAAATGTAGATATTTTTTGTAATATTTTGTACAGTATGATTTTTATTTTATTTTATTTATTTTATAAACTTCCGTCAGGCCAACATTGGAACCCCACCAATTGTTGCTACGATAGTCACAGCGAGATCGTACGGCCTGTAACTAAAACCCATCCAAGTGGTGATGGAACAACATCGTGCCTTTCACCACACTGTGAGTTACCACAGTTTATTTTGGTTTCCTTATTATTTGTCTGTGTATGTGTAAGATATTCTAGTAAATATATCATATGTGTGGTATAATTACTGAAAAAATTCTGATTAGGCCGGCACTTAGTTGTCGCTATGGCATGCACGGTGAAGCCATATCGCCTGTAGCACCCACAGGCCAGTCCAGTCTATGTGGTTCCAGTTAGCGCAACTGGCCACTGGGGCACTCCCTTTCCCTACTCGGAATTCGTTCCGAGTAATTTTTCTTCTTCACGGTATGTCAAGGCGACATACCGTTGAACTTTCAAATAATGTATGTCCACATTATTTCCATTCGTTGGAGGGCTGGCCTGTTTCAGATACAGGACCACCGGTTGCCTCCCTTTTTTGTTATGGGACTAGTTCCTAGCTTCATTGGATTTGTCAGGATCCTTTCTCTTCAAGGAGAATTTGCTATACACTTAACTTAATTATCTGACGTTTTACTTGCCTATATATATTTGAACTTCAAAACTGTCAAAATTTAAAAATGTAGCTTACACCGTTATTTTCATGTAAACATATCGCGTAGAGATTCCAACGTCCCATTATTGTTAGTTTAAGTTTTTAAATTTCTGGTACTGATTTTTTAATAAAAGAAATTTCTTTTTTTTATGGAGGGGGGTATATGTAACGTTACAAATAGTAACGCTATATGTATTATTATTAATAAGTTAAGGTAAACACTGTATAAGTATAATGTGGTTTATTACGCACTCACTGGTCCACACTGTATATTGTATTTTAGGCGGTAATTATTATTTAGTTTATTTCTTTATCTCTGCTATGGAGTATTTGGGTAAACGACTTCATTTTTGTAGTTTACGGGACCTAAAAAGGGTTAATTTATTTTTAGTTTTTATGATAGCCGAGAAAGGTTTGATTTACTTTTAATTTACTGAGGTATTCACCTTATGATTTATTTAATAATTTCGGTTCAGTGATTGTAGATTTGTGCGTTTTGTTTGTACAATTTTGAAACAATCAGTACTAGGTATATTTTTCGTTTTGTGTCGGCTAAAATATAGTTTTAGATTAGAATAGTTTGGGTTAGGAATCCTAACTTAGTATGGATAAGGTGTCTTGGTAAATTAGGTTGTTTTATAATAATTAAGGTTGCTTACTTGTATTTTATGTTTTCTTTTTGGTCTTAAAGGTTTGGTTGGACGGAATACAGCTTGAACTAGGCATGTCAGGATTTTTTTATGAATATGGACGATAGGAGTCAACAGGTTTTAATGAATATTTTTATCAGTTATATTTTTTTACCACATCACTGCAAAGCAGTAAATTATGAAACATTAGTATATATTTTATTTTATCGTGTAAACCAATAGCTATTCGGTACAAATTTTATTAATTTTGAAATAAGCATTTTGATAGTAAATCAAGTTACAATATAAACAGGTAATTATTTAAATACTCTTTAAATAAACATTGTGATAGTAAATTAAAGTTAAAATATAAGTAAGTAACTAATTTTGGAGTTTTACTTTTTTTCCACGACCATATCTTATATTACTCTATTAAGTTGTGGTGGCGCCCAGGCCAAAGTGTAAGTATGAGGAATAAAAACCCACACACCTATGCTCCCAGACACGAGAGCTGCCGGAGCATATAACCCCAAGTTGGTTATAAAAGGACCAATTATCCAACTTTTTCTGGTGGCGAAACCGAAAATCCTTACAGATTTTTGTCAAAAAAGAGGAATGCCTCACAGAAAAGGCATGTTTCCGAGTTCGACAGAAGGTGCCCATTTTTAATGGTATAAATCACAGGACGTCTCATGGAGCCGTTTCCAAACCGTATTTCTGGCGAAATACACAAACGACGCTCGGGTAGCGCGTTTAATTTTGAAATTTTTTGACGAAAAACAATCTGGAGAAGTGACGCCGTTCATACAGAAAAAATTCTTTATGGCACAGTGGCTGCTGCCAGAACTTGAAGAATACCAAGTCGTGCGTGTGGTATTCGAACTTTTAAGTGCGAAAATTCGGTACGTGTTACGTAGTGAACAATTTTCCACGACTGAACGTTTACTGTGGAGTGCTCGCGAAGCAGAAGTTGACGCTGAAGAAGCTGATGCAACGCGACCAATGAGGATCACCATCCGCGAACCGTCGGGAAACGGGCCGCGGAGGGGCCCCAAAGCGACAAGCGCCTCTCCGCAGTGAATGAAAATTCAGACAATTTAACCGTGAAAACCCCTGAACAATTTGATGTGCAACCAAAACAATTAGTGAATAAGTAAGTTAGTAGTATTCAAGGACACTTAAAAGTGCGCCCCCCAAGTTTTCCCTCCCTTAATGTGAACAGTTTAGTGGCTGACACAGAATCAAACCCAATTATAACAATTATTATCAACAAGCAACGTTATCAGGCATTAGTAGATACTGGTGCCCAACGTTCCGTGATTCTCAAGGATTGTGTAAAGAACTACGTGCCTAAACTTGGAAGTGCCGAAGCCGCCGGCGGAAAAACCGTCGAAACCCTCGGTTATTCGCGAATCATTCAAAATTTACCTTCAAAAACCGACCACGAAAGTATACACCGGATAAGGCGTTGGAGATCGATAAACAAGTGGAAGCTATGCTCCGGGGGGGGCATTATTGAACCATGTTCATCTCCAGTGCTTCTGGTCAAGAAGGAAGGCGGATGGCGATTCTGCGTCGACTACAGAGAACTGAATAAACGTACCAAAGATGTTTGGAGTGTATTGCCACCAATAGTTGAAACTGTCCGTGACTTAGGAACTGCCAAAGTTTTTTCTGCTTTGGATCTTACAAGTAGATATTGGCAGCTTCCAGTGGATAAGAAATCACGCGCTTATACAGCTTTCTTTACACCTGATGGAGCACAATACCAATTTACTGCCATGCCGTTTGGTTTGATGCTGGCCCCGACTACATTTCAGCGGGCTATGTTGGACATCTTTGCCGGAATGCTAAACAAATTCGTCAAAGTCTACCCTGATGATGTTATTATCTACTCCAATAGCATCGAAGAGCATGTTGGTCATCTCAGGCTAGTTTTGGAACGTCTGGAAGCACATAAACTACGGTTGAATCCAAAGAAGTGCCGAATTGCCACGACTACGCTGATATATCTGGGATACTAAGTAAATGGTGCATTCACGAAACCCCAAGAATGCCACTTGACGAAAATCAAGAAGTTTGAACGACCAACTAACAGGAAGCAAGTCCAAGCATTCATGGGCTTAATCAACTGGCTACGAGGTTACATCCCTGGATTGGCGGCGTTAACTGCACCTCTAGCAGAACTGACTGGAAAAACTGATCGTTTCAAATGGACTGAAGAATGTGAAGCAAGCTGGACGAAAACACACGAAGCTTTGGAACAACCGCATAAGCTAGAACGACCGAATCCTGCCTGGAAATTCATACTCCAAGTAGATGCCTCAGACGCTGGCATGGGAGCCGTGCTAATGCAACTGGATGGTGAAGAAAAGAAGCACATCATTCATTACAGCTCTGCCAAATACCACCAGAATGAGAAGAACTACCACGTCAATGAAAAAGAATGTTTAGCAATGGTGTGGGCGATCAAGAGATACAGGTAGGGTTGCCAACTCTGTGGATCAAAAATCCGGGAGGTGAAATAAAAAAAAATAAAAATCAAATTCACTTGCCACAACTTCACGCACTTCTCGCAGCAAACAGTAATCATCGTACAATTTATCCTCATTTATTGGAACGTTTAAAGAAGCACACAGATCTTGGAGTTCATTCCAGTCAATTTCGTTGTCCATTGTTAAAATGTTCATTTTCTTATAAATAGATGTGTCAAATTCGTACCACTTATTTAAATAGCTTAAACATCACTCCAAATATTTGTCTGCATCTTCTTTAAAAGTATTTTTATCACTAACCGTCAACTTTCTCAAACACTGAATAGCCGATTGACCGTAAAACTTGTCATTTTTTCGGTTGGTAATTTTAAATCGCAATTCGGTCATAATTGTGTGTAGTTCCGCACATGTAATATAGTCACTTTCCAGTTTTTTAATAGAAATGTCAAAAATTTGCATTATATTGTGAATAAAATAGCAGTAGCATAATGCAAGACAGTTCTCATCTTTAAAGGCTTTCCAAATTATTTCTGCACAGTCGTCTTTGCCTTCATTAAGAAAATATTCCCTTAAAACCGGCCAATTCAACAAAAGTCTATCTAAAGCTGGAAGCAAAGAAAGCCATCGTGTAGGCACATGGCGGAGTATAGACTTGTACTCTAAATGAGCGAAATCAAAGAATTCCTTGAGCTTTGCAGTTCGCTTGGCAAACGCGGAAAATTCGCTGTAAACTTTCAATACCAACGATTCCACATCAAACTGTAAAGCTTTTAATGCATATTTGTTACAATTGTGTAAAATGTGGCACTTACAATTCGCCTTCAAAATATTTGGGTTTTCAATTTTAAGTTTTTGAAAAACTGAGTTATGAATACCATAGTTGACGGAAGCATTATCTGCGGATAGTGAAGATACGGATGCCCAGGAGAAGCCGTTTTCCTGTAAAACTTTACAAAGCTGTGTTTTAATAGCTTCACTTGTTTCAGCAGGGTCTTGATAAAAGTCAAGTAAACCTTGTTTTAAACCATCTTTAAGTGAAAACCATTGCACCGTCACTGGAAACATTTTTAAATTCCCTTTGTTGGACGAGTCTGTTCCAAGAGAAAAATAAGTAGACTCCTGCAGTTCCGATATAAGTATTTCTTGCGATAGCGGGGCTATAACATTTTCACAAATAGTTGTAGCCTTAGTTCGACCGCAGGCTATTTTTTTTGCAACTTCAGAATCCGGAAACAACGTAGGGAATAACTTATTGTTACAATCTTGACTTGAATAGCTGTGATGATGTTTAACTCCATGATATACAGATGTAATTTCCGCGGCAGTTATTAAATCTTCTTCTCTTGAATGTTTTTTCACAAAAAAACTAGATACTGATGCCATAGAAGACTTGTTTTTGAGAAATATCTTATGTTTTTTACCTTCCGAATGCACAACTAAAGCTCTTTTACCTTCGTATTTTACTGAAATATCGGTTCTGCACAACTTACATTCAGCGGTAAAATCATCTCGTTTTTTAAGCCAAGCACTAAACAGAGGATCGTTCAACCAACTTCCATCAAAGCTTGTATGATATTTAAGTTTTTTCTTTTTAGGCGGACTTAATCTTTCTTGCGACCTTCCCGAATCCGACATTATACTTAATTTTTAGTATATAACAGGAACAATTACTTGCGTACATACAGCGATTACAAACAAAACACGTTCGATTTTGGCCGCTACTTAAATTACGGTATTACGCAACTAAAGAACACGAACTATTAGTTCGGAACTATCAAAACATGGTGACAAGATGCGCGAGCCGCGAGTTTGCCAGGCGGCCGGCAGTGGCGGTAGTGTTGTCACAATTAATATAATAATTATTGTACAAATCTAGTACAATTTACTACTTTTATTCATTAATATTGCATTTTTTACAAGGATATATATAAAAAATACTGTGAGCTGTGACTGCAATTTTTGCTAAATTTCCGGGAGAATTTAACTGCGTTCCGGGAGCCGGGAGATTTTTAAAACTAACTGTCTTTTTCCGGGAGAATCCCGGAATTCCGGGAGAGTTGGCAACCCTAGATACAGGCCGTATCTGGAAGATAAAGTATTTATCTTAAAGACTAACAACCGTGCACTGGTATGGTTATCCAATCATCGAGATGACCGAGCGAAGCTGACAAGATGGTCCTTGTTACTACAAGAATTTACCTTCAAAGTGGAGCGTGTACCAGGCCGAACCAACGAGTTGCCAGATTTCTTATCCAGAAATCCGACCAAAGATCCCCAGCCCAACAGAAATTACATGGAAGAAATGCCCACACCAAACATCTGTCTCTTGCAGACCATGCTGCTGGTAAAGAAAGTACTGGAAGGATAGCTTGTGGATGCAACAACCCAAAGGCTGGTTCGACGAATCCAGGAAGCCACCGACAAGTGCCCAAAGGACGTAGTGGACAGAAGTTTGATGGCAAATTTCGTAATTACTGCAGAATCAAACCTTTTTCAGAAACGTGCAGATGGTTCTTATCGCGTTTATGTGCCAGCATCCATGAGGACACAAGTATTGAAGTCCCACCACGCCAGCGACCAAGGCGCTCATCTCGGAATCCATCAGACGTTCCGAGCCATAGATGACCGCTTTCACTGGGACAGGATGCGAGCTGCCGTAGTCCGATATGTGGGGAAATGCCTCATATGCCCAAACGAGCTTGGCAGATGATTTCCATCGATACATTGGGCCCTTATGACGTCGGAGTTCCCGGTCCAAAACATGCCTTTGTTGTTGTCCTTACCAAATGGACAGAAGCCATAACCGCAGACGATAATGAGCTAAATACCGTCAAAGCTTATTTAGAAGAATTGTTTGCCAGATTTGGAGTTCCAGAAGCCATTTTGTCCGACAGCGGGGCCAGTTTTCCAGGAAGAAATGGGCGAAATTTTGCAACAGAAACGGCATCCGGGCTCTTAACTCCGCGATCTACCACCAACAGGCCAATCCAGTTGAATGTCAGGTCAAGAATTAAAGAAAATTCTACGAGGCTTGATGAAGACGAAGAAACCTAATCAACAATGGTTTCATTTCCTGTCCAAACCCACAGCAGTGCAGTGCAGAACCACAGTGAGCAACCTTACAGCTTTGATCAATGGTGTACTCCAAACCATGCATTTCCCCTCGTCCTGGAAAAAAGCTTAAGTAATTCTTCTTCCTAAAAAGAAAAAATCTAGACAGCACCCGGAAAACTCCAAGCCTATTTCCCCCTTACCTTCTCTATTAAAGCTGCTTGAAAACTTTATAAAGATTAGACTTGAGAAGGAAATCGACCAGAAAGAACTGCTTCCAGACGAGCAATTTGGTTTCAGGCCACAGCTCTCCACCGAGCTACAGATCTCCCGAATAGCTGAGACTCACACATGGCTTTGATTTTAAACAAAAAACAGGTATGGTGCTTTTAGACATCAGCAAATCTTTTGACAGAGTGCCATATGCCTAAATTATATCTACTTACTTTGCACAACTTTACAAATGCAAATCAAAATTTAATACACATGGGCATCCTCTTGCTTAACTTAATAGTAAACTTATTAAATAGACTCATTAAACGCTTTCAAAATTTTCTTAAATTCACCTTAATTTGAATTAATTTGCTTGCTTCACAAGGGTAATATTTATATAAAATAGTTTTTCTAACAGTTTGATGGGATTTTCACTCTCTTCAAGGGACAGCACTAATACTAATTTTATTCCAGCTCTCCAAGATACTTTGTTAGTTCAGACATATCACATGCAGACTGACTTATTATAGCCAGTTTGTTCCCATTCCCCTGCTATATTAAGCAAAGGCCGCTAACGGACCTATACTACTCTCCCACCCATAACTTACCTCATCCCCGATTTACTATGCTATAGTTTTATACTCCCACCCATGTAAACCAATCCTCAAAGTAAGGGCAAACGGTCACTATGACCCGTCCTTTGCTAGGGCAATAGCCCAGTTTTATTCATTTGGAGGCTACAGTGCTATCGAGAAATTCTGTTTTCAACCAATCAGGAAGGAGGACACTCGTTTTAATATAAATTGTAGTGCCTGCTGAACTAAAATGAGTTCTATTTTACGATTTTTTTGTTTTATTGTTTGAATTTGAAGTTAATTTCCTTCGGGAATTAATCTTTGATTAAAATTCAAGTGATTGAATTTATTTTGAATTAAACTTCGAAAGATTCGAAGTTAATTATTTTTGGGTATTTTTAAAACAGTTCATAGAACTAAATATTTATTTTTATTTGAATTAAAATTCAAAAGATTCTGGTTTGGCGGTTTTGGACGACGTCATCAAGGCTTCCGTGGACGCCATCTTCGAGATTATTGACTTGGGATCTGAGTTTTCGGAAGAAACCTTCGAAGATTAAATGGACTTCATCGGTACACCTGTCGTGGAGGCCGTCGCCGACGCTTCCGTCCACATTCCACAATACCAAATGGACCTCCTCGTGCCCCATGTGCTTCAGGTGGTTCATTCTTCTCCAACCATGATGGCAAATGGTACTAGCGTTCGTTGCCGCTCTCCAGAGGTGCCTAGCACCAAGAACCAGGTTCTGCAGGTACCTAACACAGGTATTTCGGGATCCCAAGTATTTCCGTCAGCAAGCCTTCAAGGGGAACACAGAGGACGGCATTCCTTGGACCAACCGATCCAATCACAACAAGACCTTTGAAGCTTCTATCTTCCTGTGTTAAAAGTGTTCGTCTTTCAGCGTTTTTTGCTGCCCAAGCACAAAATCCAATAATTAAAAACAAAATTACCAAGTACCTGTAATTTTGACACCTGTCATTTTTGACACCTGCCATTTTTGGTACCTGTCATTTTTGATCAATTTCGAACGTTTCCGAACCCCGCAATTACATCTCACCACTGTGAATACATTAATTTTACCACGTAACTAGATCAGTTTGCATATATTGTCACTTGTCGTTAATTTTTTGCCCCCCCGTAATATTTGGTTTGAGCTAGTTTTGTACGCCGCTGTAGTATACATATAGTTTCAGCAGGTGGCGTCACACGGATAAAATGCGAAGTATCTGGCAAGGTTACGACCCTTAATTGGGCCTCTAGGGAAGTGCGTCTCAACGCGTAAGAAGAACACTGTCAGTGTGGCGCCAGAATAAATTTAAATTTCTAAATATTGTGCAATATTTAGACTTGAAATCAACAGGGCAAGTGGCGCCACTATGCGGCCACTTTTGAAAATAGTGGCCTGAAAACCCCTTTGCTTATCTACTGCTCTAGCTTTAGAATTTTTCGCCGGTGATTTTTCTCATTTTTTTCCTTATACATGTGTTTCTATCTGCAGGCTTCCTATTTAAGTCGAATATACGTTCTTGTTCTGACAAGACAATGTACAACTTCAAATAGAATTGGGGATTTAAGTTGTGCAATCGTTAAATTAGTCCTACATGTAATTCATCAAGGATAGCTTTTCTTAATAAAAGTAGAATAAACTCGTAAACCTCGCATTATACATCCATCCTGTAAAGAATATTCATTTTGTTCTATATTGAATCTATGTTCAGCCAATATTATTTGTCCCGTCGTTAAACCTGTCAACAGATGGAAAACTTCCTTATCTTTTTGTATGATTGGCCAACTCTTGAACTGTCATAGGTAAAGCATTTATTTGACCAATATTAAAAATATCAGATTCTTCAAAGGAAAATAATCTCGATAGAGTATCGACATTGGAATTATTTTTTTTGTATTTTTATATTTAATTGTGTAGTTTAATGCCTGTACGTAGATTGCATTCGTGCAGTACTAAAGATATGTAAACCCCATATATTTATAATAGAATATGCCTCTCTGTCAACTGAAGAGTATTTTCTGTGTTTCGAAAAATGTTTGGGAAGCAAACTGGATAGGTCTTTTTGTGCCATCAGGCATAATTTGAAAAATTGGAACTTTTCGAAATTTAATCGAACATTATAATTGTGAAACGTTGATTTATTTATATCAACTGATTAAGCATATCAGTGGATATAGGTTTTTGCACGACATGGCAACGTAGTAATTTTCTTTAAAAACTGTTTTTTTATATAATAAATTGGGTAATTATCTTTCAAAGTTTATATTTTCCCTAAAAAAGTCGATTTCTATATATTGACATTTTAAATTAGACATAAAACAATTAAAATTTCATCAAGATTTATTTGATATTTGGGACATTTGCTTTTAACCATAAAAAATAATTTAGTCATGGTTTACTAGATTTGTTTTTTGGCCAATAAAATCATTTAAAATGGAAATTGGTTGATAAAATTTATATCAGTCGTTAACGACTGATTTAAAATATGGATAAAAATAGACGGTATTTTGTTTGTAAATATATATAAAAAATAAATTCAAAAGTTTAACATACCTATAACAAAGATATAATTAAAAAATAACATTTTTTAAAGATAAAATTACTACCATGTTGATTATATAAAATATCTTTGCTGTTTTTTTTGTCTGATTGAAAAGCTGAATGCTTGAAATCAATTGATTTTTACTTTCTTTGGTTTCATTGTAAAATAATTACCCCTAACATTAAACTTGGGTAAAAATATTTATTGATTCATTTTTTTATTATTAAACACATACATACCTTCCATAAATGTTTACTTTTTAATATAATACCTAGATTATTTTAAAAAATCACTATTTAATAAATAATAAGGATTATAAAATTAAACCAAAATTTTGTTTAAAAAATATTTGTCTTATTTTTTCAATACTTTTGTAGAATTATAAATTTCAACTTATTTTTCTTTTAAATTTTTAAATTATGTGCTTGCTCTTTAAATAGAAACAGTAGGGGACTTTTTTCTGAGGAAATTTAAACATAAAAGGAAATTAAATTCAGGGACAAAAACATAGGTATTTCAAATTGGATATACATATTATAATATTATTAACAGATTTTGCCAGTAATACAATTTTAAAAGGAAATAAAAAATACACCCTGTAGGTAAAAACAATTGTATTTGCTCGAAAGCAAAAACAGGCTCAGTGTATGAAACTATTTTCAAATTGTTTTTATCATTTTTAATATTAATTTGACAAATAATTAAAAATATGCTCTGAAACAATATTTTTATTTTTAAAATAAAATACACAGGATCTGGACTAGAACTGCAACAGTTAAATTTTAAAATTTGCTTTATTAAAATAACAGTTTTTAAAATTTGTGTTCCTATATTTTTGAATATAAATTATTTAAAAAAGGCATGCATAATTTTTTTCATTGGGTTTAATTTACCCCTTTAGAAAATCAGGGATTCTTGCCCCATTTCCAGCAAGGGGGGCAGGCAACGGTAAACTATATGCATGCTACAAAAAGACTTCACCTCCCACCCATTTTCTAGCACAATTTTTCTGGACATGCAATTTTTAAGTATAGCTCCCTCCTTTTGATTAAACAAGTTTATTCTAAAGCCATAATTTATGTATATCAAGCATTAACTAACATGTTTTCCTCTAGAGTTTGTTTCTTAATTTTTTTATATTCTTGTCACAAATTTTAAATGTCTTTTTTTCCCTCTTGATGTCTTCGGCATCATTGCATTTATTTTTTAAAACATTTGCCTACATGCCTAAAAAGGTGTTATTGGTACCTGTAAAAGAATAGGTAAAAGAGCATTGCCTTTTAGAAACAGTTCTAGTATTCCTATATCTAATTATAATTATAATATACCTAATTAATTAATATTTTACAACAACAAACACTTGAATAAAATTTCCACCAACTTCAACAAAATTTCTTTGTTCTTTTCAGAAGCTTTGGGCCGTAATTTTCTTTTTTGCAAACTACGAACATAACCCAATTGTGTATGTTTTATATTTCGGAAATCCTCTCAAACCTAGTTTTTGTCAATAATAAGGTTTAGGGCCGTATGCAGAAACGTTGATTTATTTATACCAACTGATTTAGCATATCAATGGAAATAGGTTTTTGCACGACATGGCAACGTAGTAATTTTCTTTAAAAACTTTTGTTTTATAAAATAAATTGGGAAATTATCTTTCAACGTTTATATTTTCCCTAAAAAGTCGATTTCTATACATTGACATTTTAAATTAGACATAAAAGAATTAAAATTTCATCAAGATTTATTTGACATTTGTGACATTTGCTTTTAACCATAGAAAATAATTTCGATAATATAAGTCATGGTTTACTTCATTTGTTTTTTGGCCAATAAAATTGGTTGATATAATCAGTCGTCAATCGTTAACGACTGATTTAAAATATGGATAAAAATAGACAGTATTTTTGTTTGCAAATGAAAAAATAAATTCAAAAGGTAAACATACCCATAACAAAGATATAATTAAAAAATAACATTTTTTTAAAGATACAATTACAACCATGTTAATTATATCAAATAATATTTATCATATTATCTTTGCTGTTTTTTGGTTTCATTGTAAAATAATTAGGCACCCCTAACATTGAACTTGGGTGAAAATATTTATTGATTAATTTGTTTATTATTAAAAACATACATACCTTCCATAAATGTTTACTTTTTAGTATAATACCTACCTAGATAATTAAAAAAAATACTATTTAATAAATAAGGATTATAAAATAAAACCAAAATTGTGTTTAAAAAATATTTGACTTATTTTTTAAATACTTTTAAAGAATTTTAATTTTATACCATTTTTTCTTTTAAATTTTTAAATTATGTGCTTGTTCTTCAAATAGAAACAGTAGGTAGAGGGGACTTTTTTTCTGGGGAAATTTACACTCTATTTATTTTTTGGCTCAGAAATATAGTACTATTAAACATAAAAGAAAATGAAATGGAGGGACAAAACATAGGTATTTCAAATTGAATATACATATTATAATATTATTAACAGTTTTTGCCAGTATTATTATAAAATTATTATAAAAGGCATTTTATAAGAAAATTAAAAAGACACCCTTGTAAACTGTTAAAACGATTTAGTGATTTTACGTAAAATTACGGTCTAATTATGTTACAATCGTAATATCACGGAAATATACTACACAATTGTATTTTTACATAAACGTGCCGAAAAATTACACAGAAAATCGTAAAATTACACATGAGAATTACGTTAAAATTTTGGAATTTTTGCAGAAAATAATTTGGATTATCACGTTAGTACATAGGTAAATGTAACTAAACCTTAAAGTAAAATTACGAACGTTAGTCGGAAAACTAAACTTATCATTATGTATTTTTACTGTATTATTTAAGTATAATCAATAAACATTTCGGGTAAATAACGAAAAACTTCAATAAACCTTTTGTATTTTTACTAGTTATTTATTGTAATAATAATATAGTTTTTTATGTAATTTAATGTAAAATTACAAATAACTTTATGTATTTTTTAGTCAATATTCACTGATTTTTTTTCAATTTATTATCTGTAAAATTTCATAGTTAGTTTTGTATATAATTTTATGAATGAAACAAAAAACTGAATTTTAAAGTATTTATTAAAAAAATAAGTTTGGACGTTTTGATCATGTCTACAGCCTAAGTAACAATTTTTACATTTACACATATATAGTACAGTTAAACTTGAACAAAAACCTTTCACAATTTAAAAATATTTGTATTCCTATTAACAAATCATAACATCTTATAATATGTATAGGTACAAATATTTTTTTTGAATTGTAAAGGTTTTAACTTTACTATATCAACCTAATACTACTTTAGTAGGTATTCATTATATGTTTAAACCCATGGCTCCGCAGCCGAATTAGAAATTGTATAAAAAAAACTTTTAATGCAAAAAATTTAGGGTTCTTTTAGAAAACAACAAAAGAAAAAAATTGAAATGGAAAATGTCAAAAAAATGTACATGATGTGTATTTTTTCTAATAAAAGACCATTTATATTTTATTAGCTAAAATAAAAGGCCTTTTCATTCTGATTTTAAAAACAAAGGCATATTTGACATTTTATTAGCCTAGCCGTTTTTTAAATATTTTAGTTTAAAGCTTATGATTTGGTTCCCCGTTTTGTGATGTTATGCCCTTATTAAAACAAATGCAAACAATAACATTATGGCTATAATCAAGGCATATTTGACCATCTTATGGCCAATTCCTGATAACCAATCTATAAAATTTAAAGTAAAATACTTCAAAAATTTCTGAACCAAACAGTGTCTATATTTTTAAAATCAGGACAAAAAGACCTTTCATTTTATCTAATAAAATATAGGGTGTTCCTTTTAAAAAATACACGTGATTTTTCGACATTTTGAAGTATTTTTTTATATTTCCAAAAGATTATTTATAACTCTTCGATTTTTGTCTTTTTTTAATAAACAAAACATTTTTTTATAACATTTACAAACTAAGTTAATAAAATATAAACGAAACAGTTTTTTTATATGAGATATATACTTACTTTTCAAAATATAAACGAAACAGTTTTTCCCATAAGGATTACAAAATAAGTTGACAAAATATGAACGAAACAGTTTTTTAACAGTTACGAACGTAATGTTAGTTAACACTATAAAAACAGAACGTTTTTCTTATTAAGGCACTAATTTAGTACCTGCTTATTTCAATTTCATACCAAAATAAATAGCTTTTTATGAGTAGTAATATACAGCGTGTTTAAATTGGATCCCTACCAATGGAATCTCGTTAACTACAAGAGATTCAAAGATATTTAAATTGGGGCTTAATTGCGCATCGCTACTATAAAATATATTTTTTTAATAGCAGTTTGTGTCACAGAAATTCGAAAAGATTAAACATTGATAACAATTTTTTGCATAGGAAGTTAACTAAATAAGAGCCTTAATAAGAAAAGCATTCTGTTTTTTTTTTCAAAAGAAGAAAAATTATAAATCTCTTAACTTTTTCATTAAAGTAAATACTCTTGATTTTGAACCTTGTTTATCTTAAAACCTGAATCAGGATGTATATATATCTCTGAATAAAGTCAAACGTTAAAGAGGCTTTTGGAGGATATTTTAGATTAAAATTAAAATAAAAGCAAAATGCCATACAAAAAATATTTTCAAAGTCCACATCTTCATAAGTTTTTGCCTTTTCAAAAATTAAATGGTATTGTTGGGAATCACCTGAAACAAAAATAATTAGGATTTTTTTTCTAATCTGAATTTTTATAGTCTCATTCTCCTTGAAATCAATTGCGCTAGGCCATTCTTATAAAAAGATTTTATAGAACTTACTCAGTTCAACAAAGTCAAATTGATTCTAATAACTAAGTATTACATTTTCAAGAAAACAAAAAAGACTATTTTCAGTAAAATGGTGAGTTATGACAAAAAAATTAAATTTACTAAAATTTGACAAAAAAACTTTACCCCAATATACTTATGTATATAAAAATATAGTAACGGGACTTACTAAGCTTTACAATAAAAGGATGTAAGTCATCGATTGTCTCCAATATGTCATCAACGTAATTGCCCTGCAAAAAAAGTATGTGTAACCACTTTTTCCTTAGTTTAAAGTTAAAAAACAAAGGTATCACAATAAAAAAATAATTATCTCTAACTCCCTATAGAATGTAGAAGCTGAGTCTTTAAGCTGGTTGGTAATCAGCAAGAAAAGTTGTAATGCCTTTGGTTTGCTTTAATCCAATTCGTATTTGCTTAATACTGCCAGTTTCTTAAATTTCTCATATTTTTCAGTTATTGCTGTCATAAATGATTTTGCATTAGATGAAGTAAGTTTTTTAAAGTGACAGAAAGTACCTTCTTTGGTTAATAGAATTGGCCACTCCGTTTTAGTTGCATCAACTTTGGGATCTTCCAAAATAAAGTTTCTCTGCTGGGCAAGACACTTGTTTATTTTATCCTTAAGCTGTGGATCAGTGCAATTTAACATCTCCTGGGGTTCATATTCATCATCAATGTTGGGGCTCCATAAAGTGCATCCTGCTCTTTCAGCTACCCGACGCTTTTTATTTTTTATTGCACTTTCTTGATCTTTAGGTTTCTTTTGTCTATTTAAATAGTTATTCCTGTCTTGGATTTTTCTAAAAAGGGTATGAGATCCATCACCAATCACAATGCCATCTTCATCAATATCTTTAAACATGACAGGAAATTTATCTATTATTTTTTGTGCAATTATGTGGATAGCACTTGCTGGGATATGATCTTTTATCTCCCTCATCTTGTGGACAACAGTTTGAATAACAAACGTTTTAGCCTGATGGTCCTTTACTTTGCCTTTATCACAGGCATCATATATATTCTTTGGTAATATTTCCCATGGTACCTCAAAAAGCTTCCATAGCACATTTGAATTACAGTCAATGGTAAGAGTGATTGTTGAATCTTCTGATGACTCCATTACTTCCCCACCAAGAGGGGCCTTAGCTGGGACTTCGATTATGGAGTCAGTATCCTCATAGTCGTTAACAAGAGTGACAGACGCTGTACTTGCAGTAGAAGTTGAAGTCGTAGTAGACCTGTTGTCGTTAAGTGTAAGTATTCCGTCCAAGCCTCCATCCCAGAATTGTCCTGTTTTTAACAAAAGAAGAACCTCATCCTTAAAGTGTTCCAAAATTATATCATCATCAATGTCGGTGCCATCTTTCTGAAGAACTAGCTTTGCACCATTTATATTAAACTTTTCGGACGCTGCAATAAAAAATTGTTAATTTTAATCTCTGGTTAAGAAAGTTGTTTTTTGAGTCGGGCAGCAAGTATATTATAAAAAATGCAAAAGCTCCCGTAATAAAGTCGGTCTAAAAAAATTAGGGCCATTTGAAACCTCTAAGTAACACCAAAAAGTGATTTATACAAATGAATCGTCCATTCAAAATGTATATCAACAACTCAATGATACAAAAATGACACTAAATGTTGAAAAATAAAATAATCCTAAAAAATAGGGCCCAAGTATGGCTTTTTACAAAATACATTGATTTAAAATATTTAATATATTTAAAATATTGTTTAAACAAAATAATAAAAAAATGTGATTATTCATGGAACATACCTTTGACTATAAGGTTGAGAAGCATATTTTCTGCTTGGGTAAGGTATATCACTCCTTTGTTTCCCCTTAGGCTCCAAATTTTGAAGAACGTCAACGCCGCCATTGTATTCAAAAAGGTCTTTAAATCCACCACAAAATATATTAAAATTATATACTAATTATAACTTAATATTATACCTACTAATACTAATAATTATTATAACTTTATAACTTAATAATTATTATAACTCTATAACTTAATAATTACATGAACATATTATAATTAACAAATAAATTATATGGAACATGATTTGCTACATTATTTCCATTAATTTAACGTTTTGAATTATAATATAATTCTTTTTAGAATATGGAAAAACTATAAAATAACCCTACTTTCAAACTTATGAAAAGAAAAACTTTACCATTAATTTTTGATTCATTGTGAATTTGTGCAAAGTTATTTTTTAATGCTAGCAAATTAAGAATTGTTTTATAATTTCATTCCATTGGTGAAGAAGGAAAACAAAAGACATACTTGTTTTGTTTTCTTGTTACCAAAACTTGTTCAAATAAAATAAGATATTTATATAAAAATGACACTATTTCCTTTTTATAATTTTCACATTCCAAATAAACACCATATTCTTCATTGTAGTATATGTTAATTGAATCTCCAATAAACAATATATGCTCCAAATGCTCATCTAAGAGAATAAATTTTATTCTCAATAATATATAATCACCTAAAGAACATTTTTTACAACATAAAACCCCTTGGTTTTGATAAATTATTCCATGATAAGTGATCTTGCTGGAAACATATTTTACCGGAATATTTTTACTTAATTCAGTATAATTTGACATGTACTTGGGAAAATTTTTTGCATAAAAAATGTTTAGCTCTGATACCTGTACCTTATTGCTATATAAAAATGAGGAATTCTGAGAATAATTGAGAGCTTGAAGTAATTGATGTTTTTCAGACATGGATTTTAACATGTTAATAAAGTTCTGACTATGTTTTACCACATTTTTAAAATATCTATGCTTAGATTCAAAACGTAAACTCCAAAGGTGTCGCAAAGGGCCAAATATTTTGATGAGATATGGGTAATGACATATAAAGTGATGCTTGCGTTTCAGTTTATTTTCTGGAAAAGCTAATTGTCTTTCATAAATATATTCTAAAATTAAATTTTTTAAAATAGCGACTTGTGCCACAGAAAGTCTAAAAGATAAAACTGTCAGAACAATTTTTTGCATAAGAAGTATTAATTTCCAAAATTTTGTAAAATAGAACTTTGCAACTCTGTCCAACAAAGCTATCGGTAACACAGTTAAAACCCATACATTCTGTAAAGCATTACCAGACATTTTAGCAGACTTTTTAAAAGGGGGGATACTTTGTTTATTCTTAAATTCAAATTTTAGCTTGGAAAGTTCTGTATTTATTTCTTCATAAGTAATATATTTTTGTTCAACTAAAAAATTTATACAAAGCATTAAATCACTCTGGACCACACCTTCTAAAAAATCATGGGCAATACAGGGAGGAAGACCAGGGTTGCAGACATTAAAATATTGTAGTTCATTTAATACAGATTTTTTTTTACACCTTTGCTGCTATTTGTATTTAAACTTGCTGCCATATTAATATCATGGGTATAATTTTCTGGTGTTCTCAAACTCCCAAATAAATTGTCTTCACTAAATTTTTCAATACTGCAGGTTCTACAGAAAAATGTTTCAATATTAAAGCTTTCAACAAAGCCTCCAATTTGATGACTTCCTAGATTATCACCTAAAATGCCATTATGCATCCTTTAAAATTCAGTCCATTCACAATTATTCCATTATTTTCTAGAATTTTTAAGTCATCTATACATTTTTGCATTATTTTTTAGATACCAAAAAGTTTAATATGACTTTCAAAACATAGAGCTACCAACTGAATATGCTCGACTTGAGTTCTATGCCATGGGTCAAGATTGCCTAAAGTCATATATATACCAACAACTTTATATTTTGATTTGGCTGATCCTAATGGGTTACATGGCTCAAAAGCATCTTGGTACAAGATTAACCGGAGAATGTTGGGATTTTTTAAAAAATCTGAGTTTTTAAAACATAGACCGTCACTCAGATCTTTATATACAGACTCACTATTGGAAGGATTAGACGTGCATTTATCAAAAATATGCTTGTCCTGAAGCATAGCCTTTAAAGTTTTCAAAATGGGTACATAATAAATACAATAATCAGTAGACAATATTTGGCCAACAGTAACTGAAACAGGCTCAACATAATGATATTTTTCTTTGTAATATTTTTTTCTACAATAACTACTTCTCATTATGCCATCAATTTTATTGTGAATTTTTTCAAAAAAGAAAGCATCTGATATTTCGTTGATAATAGGCTGATCAACGTTCTTTATTTGTTTAAGCTTATCAATTATATGTTTAGAGTGTATCTGACTTAAGTCTAAAAAGCTATTAATGATAGTTTGTACTGATTTTTCATTCAAAAAATATTTTGTTTGTAGGGTCAAGTACAATGAAGATACAGCTCCTTCAGTTACCATTCTAATATCATTTTTGAAGTCTGTTGAATTATCTTCCATGTTATCAGCAATAAAACTTTCTACTAAATCAGAACCAGCCGTTGTTTCACTTAAATTAGCTGTTAATTTATTAGTTTTACGGAAAAGTTGATGATGAAAATAAAAATGAGATCTAAGTGAATGTAGATTTGAATATTTCAAAGAGCAACTGGAATAGGGACAAATAATAAGTAAATTATTTTTAAGATGCTCTTTAAAGTGGAAAAATATCATTTGCCTGGCGGGAAAGGTTAAACCGCATCCCTCAATTTTGCACTTTAAGGATTTAGTTGGGTGTTTTTGAGATGTATTTTTTTTGTTAACATTTTTCATCTTATGATGCCTGTAAACATGCATTTTGTAAGCACTATAGGCATTAACCTGATATGTGCATTTTGGTCGGACACAAATAAACACCATTCGGGGCACGTTTCGGTGTAAATATTGGTGACTATCGTATTTTTGCAAAGAAGAACATGCAATTTTACAGTAAGAACAAAACATTTTAAACGTACATACCTAGCGTCGTTCGATACCTTGCAATTTTAAGGTCGCCACGCTATCTATAGCCCACAGAACTTTAGTCTAAGGTATAACACCTCACAAAACAACTTACTACACTGAACACTGTTCAGTGAACAGTACTATACACAATAATTACGCGATTCGCGGTTATAAAAAAATGCAAGATTTAAAAGTATTTAAAACAAACCACTGATTTTTAACGTTTATAATACAAAACATAACCTAGCAAAGCGATAAAGCGAATAAATGTTTGCGCGGCGTCACCAGATCAGGGACGAACAGCGAAGCGAACTCGGAGGGACACGCGGGGATGTAAAATTACTGTAGCCTGTGGTAAATTTATAAGATTTAACGGAAAAGTACATTAATTTAAAAGGGATTTTCCGAAATGTCGTCAATTTTACATATAAGATAGTGATTTTACATTTTTTACTATAATTTTACATTTTTTAATGTAATTATTCACTATATAACAAAATGTTTACGATATTGTTCATTAAAAATACTCTAATTATGTAAAATACCATTAAATATAAATATACGTCAGTTCATAAGGTAATTTTCCTGTAAAAATATTGTATTTTTTTCGTGTATAGTAATGTAATTTTAACCCTATTTTTAACAGTGTAGGTAAAAACTATTATTTTTGCTGGAAAGCAAAAACAGGCACAGTTTATGAAACTATTTTTTATATTTTTGGTTCATATTGTTTTTATTATTTGTAATATTTATTTAACAAATAATTAAAAATATGCTCTGAAACAATATTTTTATTTTTAAAATAAAATACACAGGGTAAAAAAATCTGGACTGGAACTGCAACAGTTCAATTTTAAAATTTGATTTATTAAAATAACAGTTTTTAAAATTTGTCTACCTATATTTTTCAATATAAATTATTTAAAAAACAAAGTATACCTATAAGGCATGCATAATTTTTTTCATTGGGTTTAATTTAACCTTTTAGAAAAGCAGAGGTTCTTGCCCCATTTCCAGCAAGGGAAACTATATGCATGCTACAAACAGTTCGAGACTCCACCTCCAACCAATTTTCTAGCAAAATTTTTCTACACATTTAAGTTTTGAGTATAACTCCCTCTTTTTGTTTAAAAAAGTTTATTCTAAAGCCATAATTTATGTATATCAAGCATTAACTAACATATGTTATTCTCCAGAGTTTGTTTCTTAATTTTTTTTGTATTCTTATCAAAAAAGAATAGGTAAAAAAACATTGCCTTTTAGAAACAGGTCTAGTATTCCTATAACTATAATATATATATAATTATTAGTAGTTAAGAGAGCGGGTTTCAGCGCCAAAGTCGATGGCATGTGTTACCTTTCAGGATTTCAGTGCCGAAGAAGTGTTTTTCAGGATGTCTTCGGCTGAATTTCAGGATGTCTTCAGCAGATGCAGACAATGACCAGAAGGTCCTTTTTAGGGACATTTCAGGATTTCAAGATGTCTTTGTCTGCTGACGACAATAACCAGAAGGTCTTTTTCAGGGAAATTTTCCTGAAAGAAAAGGACCTTTAGAGGTCCTTGTTTATCTCTTAGATCTTTAAGTTAGTACAAGTGTCTAACTAGATTTATGTTGGTAGTAACTAAAATTTTATAAAAAAAAGTGTACGCTAGCCTAGCCTAGCCTAGCCTTGGGTATAGTTGGTTAGGAAAATATACACACAATTTATATTAAATTTTTTATTTAAAAATTATTTTACATTTTATTATTCGTATAATTTGTTTTTATATCGTTTCAACTCTTGTACACAACTTGAGTAGTTCCACTCCAACATTAGGTATTTATAATCAGACGTGTTTGTCATCGTTGGAGGTGGTAACCCAGCAGCTGTTGTATTGCATATGGGTTTTGGAGTCATTTTTAACTCTATATATTTTTCACTCCACATTTTGGATTCGCTTTGAAATCCCTCACTAATCATAATGCAAGTTTTTAAATCGTTTTTTGTTTTTATCAACTCATCATTATCTTCAT